AATACAATTGAGAATACTGTAAAACAAAAAGATCTCTTGATCCCATTGATGGATGTTTTCGTCAATTCATTTTTTATAAATTGAATCGCATTATGAATAGAAACAAGTTGTTGAAGAGAGGACGATTAATAGATTCTCATTGAAACCTTCGGTGTGAAGCCGAGATGATCTTTACACGATAATTTGAAAAAGACGTACATCTTAAGAGAGGAAATGTTTTCTTTTTATTTCAACATTTTAAATAAATTCATTCATTATGAATGTTTGTATCAAAAGATGGAGATTATGAATTTCAATTCTTTATTATCTCTAATAGTAATTGTTAACTTTAATAACATTTAATCAACATATTGAAAATATTCTCTACTCAAGTTTATTTCAACGAAAAATATTATTTAACTTTGAAAGTAAAGAATTCTGGTAGGAAAATAAAATTTTGATTGATGATTCGAAAATGAAATCTATCATTTCTCCAATTTAGATTATAACGATGGTTTTCTAACATCATAAGATATTTCACGAACTCATTATCAACTTCTATCAACACTACAAATAATCAGTATTAATTAACTTCCCTGAAACTAATAGATTAAAATTGACGAGTATTTATTTCCATTGCGTAAGATGATCTCTTCAGAATAAATAAATTTTAATTGGTTCAATTTATATAAGTCTGTTCATATAAAACTTTTGCATCAACGCATGTCAAACCATACTTGAACAGACATGAGTAAAAATTGGAATAAATTCTTATTGACCCTAATGATCAATGGATAAATTACATACACTTTTCAATATAGCGTATGAATGTAGCTTATCTTGGCCACATGGATTCTGTTTTAGTTCAATAGGTTGGTAAAATATTTGCTTAGTTTTGAAAAGTTCTATAACTTAGACGTTTTTCTAACAACAATCTCATAACTCTATCATTTTTAATGAAGAAGTCATCTTCCTTTGAGATTCATGAATAGAACTATAGCTTCTAGAGTACTGTAAAATCATCTCATACATCGACAAGAATTCTATTCATTAATAAGATAATTCTTATTTGCAATATGTACTTTTACATTAAAGGTCGTTTTTGGGATCTTATTCTATTTATAAGAATTCAGATCAGGATAATTGCAGACTATTCTAAAAAAAACAGAACAGAAATGAACATATCTATTACAATATTAATCTCTACATATTCAGTTAACAAGCTGATCAGCTTACACAGTTGAATTTCAGCATCTTCTTACATAAAGCTACAAACTTCCAACTATGTGAAATTTCGATTGAATTGTTATTGTTTTCACATAGTTTACAAAGTCCCACAATGTTTATTTGTCAAATTTCATCAATTCGATTTAAAAAAAATGAATAGTTTCGTTCTGTTTCTCAGTAACATTAGTTAATCGAACAAGATTCAAAGATTAAAACACTTATAAGGACAGACTGAATGCTTCTTGTCAGATCTTAACAGATCATACAAGATCTAAAACAAAGAAACATACACGGTACATAATGTAGATCTT